TACGAAAACTGTTTTCTATCGGTTACCAATTTTGTGTGGTAACTTCGATACTGTTCCCGACTATTTTTTGTAATTAGCTTCCTTGAATTTTCATATCTCTGTTATTTATTTATTTTCTGTAATTGGGCGTAAACCTTTTGAAATAAGTTTCCTTGGTTTTATAAAATCAAAGGCTTCCTCGAAATCTATCTTTCATTTGTTGGTTTCGGTTATTCGTTTAAAAAGGAAACGTTGTTTGAGACCATTAAAAAGGACGATAGACGAATTCGCGAAACGCGTTCGTCTTTGCCGTCGGAAAAGTGATACAAGGTCGAATTTATGTGGGATTGATCGCTCGTCAAACCGCGAAATCCATGGGCGGAACATCGGACACTTCGACGGGTTCGGGACACACATACCAGTTAAATTTTCGATGACGAAATTGAAAGGAAACTTTTGCTCTTTTCGTATGCTTGAGGATCAACAACCAAAGGATTTGAGAAGAACCTCTTGACTTTGAAAATCTACTCCAGTATAAATTAAAAAAAATAAAAATTCGGTGGCAATTAATACCATTAATTATAACCTTGGATGATAGCGACCGTAATACTATGGTAAAGATTTAAGGGAAGTTTTGCTTGAAAATTAATGATCAAAGGATTTGACGTTAAAAATCTGTTGCATTTGCTAAAATATATCCCAAAGATCTAATAATGGCATAACATGAAATTTCGCAGCGAAGGATCTGGACTTATTTATTTTTCAGGATGGAATGATAATTTAAAACTCCTCGCTGAAATCGCATTTGATGGATCACAACGTTATCAACTTCCTGGAGAAGTTGAGTTTGACCATTCTGCAAAAAGTTTCCCAGTCTTTGGTATAGTTCCGCACGGTGTTCTCGAAGAAAAATTTCTAGTTTTTTTTGACCTCGTTGGTAGCATTGGGGTTTACCACTTTCCGTTTGCCATATTCAGTACTAGCAATAGCGTCAAGCCATTGCATTAAACACTCGAAAGATCTCTGGTTGGTATATGGCATACTTCGCTTTGTAAAGTACTTGTTTTTGTTTTTTTGTTTACCGACTCTACAATAAATTTTATGAATTTACTTACTCGGTTGTTATGGTTGTAATGGAACTAATAATGATAGTCTTAGACAGAAGGAAGGGCAAATGTTGGAAAGTTTGAATTAAATCGCAAAGTTTGTTTTTAATATTTTGCACGAACTAATTAAAAAAAAATACGTTTGATGCGTCACGCTATGTGGTTACAGTCGTGACCGCTTATCGGACTGTACGAAGTGTGTTCAAAAAGTAAGGTCACTTTTGAATTTTTCCAAAAATTATTTGTTTATTCATCAAAATTAATGAACATTTGATAAAGGCACGGTGTTGTCGAAACAACTGTCATGTGAAAATATATAATTTCGTGAAAATCTGCACTTTTAGTTCTTATTTAAAATTAATGTTGTCCCCTTCCTCCTTATTTTCTTTTATCTCCTCAATTTTTTGGGAACAGGAAAAAGTCGCAGTGGGCCATATCCGTTGAATATGGTGGCTGAGGCATGATTCTGGTTTTGTTTTTGGCCAACGTGATTTTTTGGTGTTGGCGATTCTGGGTTCTTCTATTGGGACGACGTCATAACCATATACCCACGATTCGTGACCAGTTATGATCTTTTTATAAAACTTCTGGATTCTTCCACAGTTATAAGTCACCTTACTTATTGAACACCCCTTGTATAAGCGTCTACGCCAATGTTGCCGCTAGAAAGTGTTTTGATCAAATCGCGAACTCTATTGCGGAACCAAGGCTATCTTCTTGGCGAGACCAATCGGTCCGTTTTTCTTTGCCAACGTTTCGACGGTTTAACCTTGGCTAAGAAATCCGATTTGGGGCTAACCCCAGAAAAAGGAGGCGCAAAAACGGTCGTTTTGAGGTTTATGAATCGCCGACCAACTTTTTATATTAGAAATGAGGTGTTTCAAACTCGATTCGAACACTATTTTATATTTTGCAACTTTTAAAAACATATTTTTTCGGGTTCGAGCCCGATTTAACAATTCACGGTTATTTTCAAAACGTTCGCAAGCTTCGCCACACTTCAAGTCAAATAAATGAGCTCGTTCTTCGTTAAACCAATCAAAGCTCTATTTCTATCGTCGTCGATTACGGAAAACATTCTTGTTCGTCTTGCTTTAAGTAAGTGAATTTACATGAAAAAATTATGATAATTTGTCAAGTAAACTATTGTCCACACAATAAAAAGTAAGTCAGTTCTTAATTTTGTTTTTTCAATGAAACTTCCACAGGCTTCTGGATTCGTCCTGCGTAGGTTTTTGTTGTCGAGTCGGACTTGCTAACGTTTCGCCAATCATTGCCTCATAAGCAAATGAATGCAAATTCAAATATTCGATGGATGTATAAATATCAGAAATATAAATTAAGAATAATATTGGTCCAAGGACAGAACCTTGCGGTACACCTGATGAGACAGGGAGAAATTCAGAACTCACATTTTCAATCATTCATCGAAGCCGTAGTAACTCATTTATGACTTCCTCCGAAACTTTAGATAAGGTTAGAGGAATACTGATAGGACGAAGGTCTGAGACTGGCTGCGATAGTTATTTTTTGCCAATGGTGTGATCAAAGCGAACTTCCAAATACTAGGAAAATAACCTACTTCCAAACAGCAATTAATAATATGGCGCGGTAATATGAAGGGTCATCTGAAGCATTCTCGTAGGCACAGAATCAACACCAGCAGAATTTGACTTAAAGTTTGAAATAATGGCTTTAATAGTGGCGAGTGTAAATGCAAATGATGATATATTCGAGTTGAACTTGCGATTTTTCGGGGCAATTGTTAATATATCTGTTTAGAATTAATAGAATCGAAATTGTAAGACAAAAATGCCGATTCTTCTTTAAGTACTGTACTTGTAACAACATTTCTTATTTCTTCATAATTTAAAAAATATAAGATAATGACATTGCCCTGTATACATATTCTCCATAATCTATTAGAAATTCACAAACATACTAATATATTTGAACGTGTGTCTCATAGTTATCCAGTACGTAAAAAAAATCATATAAGAGTTCCAAAGCATCAGACAAAAATTCCTTCAACATTAACTTGTACGATATGCTGCCAGATAGGTAGAGACGTATGGCTTTTGAGGTGTTCAAAACAAATATTAAAGTGTTGCTTATTGAAAATTGTTTCTAAAATCCTTGGCTTACTGAAATGGGTAAAGACCATAGCACACTATCTTGCACTTTCTGGACGATTTTTATACTCCCTGTTAGTGTTGTTGACCTTCACATTTGTTTTTGTTCACTACTGTGTTATTAATAAAATACGTTTTTTTTTACACCTTTATAATTTTTACATTTTGTTCTTCTTCTTCTTCATCGAAAGTAGGAGGAAAAAGCTGCAAACATAATAGACAAAGGGGTCTATTCAAATTTACAATCTTGTTTCTTTCTCTATTAAAAAACCTTTTTTTTTGTTTTCAAATTTTTTGTTAACGAAAATTCATTTTCTCCGAAGTTTTCCGCGTTTTCTTTTCCCTTTATGTAGCTTGCCATTTGTTCCGCCCACTCGTGACCTTTCCCGCAAGCCGTCGTCTATTTTAACGAAGCGAGAGAGAAAAGAAAAGACACACCAACTCTTTAAAAGGAACAGAAACTCGGCGGCCATATTTTCTCTCTTTTTATACCGACCGCGGACGTTGTTACTACACATATACGTTATTGTAGTCGCCAACAAAGGCCCGCATTCTTTTAAATGATTCAGGCGGTGCAGCACACCGAGATGGATATCTTTGATGCGCTGTTGCCGGTTTTCTTCCGTGTTTTGACGCCTTTTAAAACGTCTCCCTTGATAATGCCATTTGAACGTGTCACAGAATCGTCATATTTACGTAACAGAACCTCGCAAGGTTGCGTTCTTGCAATTTTCTCAAATCCGTTCGCGTCTATTCGAAAAATGTTCGAGTTTGAACCCTGCCCAGGCTACGTTAGTTATAAATTTTTGATTCCAAAGAAACTTCCACAATCCACTGTAATACTTTTTACAAAACTTCTCCCATTCTTAGATATTCTTATCAATAGAAAATCAGAGGTAACATTGGGTCATTGTCTTTACCGAAAACTTACGCACACAGGCCGATGCCTTAATGCATTGCTACATCACTCTTTTGTTTGCAGAGCCGTAAAACTATGTCAGTCCGAGTCACTGAAATTAAAACACCTTACCTCTGATCTTCTTTCTAATAATTTCCACATTAAAGATATTAAGCGTTCGATCAAAAAATACACTTCACCACAACCTCCCAAAAGCAATGAAGCCGAAAGCAATCCCACACTTGCCACTGTTGGCCTTCCTTACATTCAAAACATCACTGACCACATACCAAACCGGACATAATATTTTACTCGAACTAAAATTCTTGCATGTAATCGATTCTTCTACCAACAAAAAATCCGAGAGTCTATAGAAATCTATAAGCAACAACATGATGATACAAGGTGTCCAAAATAATACGTACGGCAATAATCACAAAATGGCATTGTCAAATTTTTACTTGACGTCGTTAAACTAACTGTATTTTTTTTAAATAAACATAGATTTTGATATTTTAGAAGGTATACTTGCGGTTCATATATTATGATTATTATTATTGGGAATTATTAGACCGGGCTTATTATACGCGAAATCAGCCTTTCAATGTTAAATATTTTTTGCATTCTGTGTTTTTTTTTGGCAAAACAATAATAAATATCTCAAATTAACCCAAATCATATACCGGTAATTATACATTTTCGAAAAGCGTATAAAAAGCGCAATCTTTTAAAAAAATACAAGCAGGGTGTATTTAAAAAATTGTATTTATTTGCCAAATTGCCAACTTTTTTGTTTCTCCTTGTATCTCGAAAGCTGAAAAGATGTACAATTTTTTTATATTTTTTATGCTGAAGTTTGATTGAAAACGTCTGTTTTTTTTTCAGGTATTAGAAACATCCCCCGCTGACCATTTCTGATTGGGGCAAAGCAATGTCGTCGGTAAGACAGATTACTGTTTTTTCTACATAAGAGTCGCAATAAACATCGCCATTTTTAATTGATAAAAAAGGGCTTTTTCCGAAAAACCCTTGTGAGAAAATAAGTTTGCTGCTTCAAAAAGTACCGCGTTTAAAATTATCAAAGTAACAATAAAGTTAAAACTCTTTTGGAAAAAATCATGGTCCAAGAAACGTGGAAGAATCAGAACAATAATCTCTACTTGGAACATTTTTTGAATTATATACAGGGTGTGTTATTTTTCTCTGTTCTCTGTCGCTTCATATAAATGAGAATAACTCGGAACAGTTTTAAACGTCCCACGAGACGCATAAGCACATAGGAAATGGCCGCGATCGGTATTGGGCGTCCATCTTTTTTTGCGATTTTTCTTTGTTTTTTTAAAACATAATTGAGACGAAATTAGGTTGGAAAGAATTATTCAGAAAATAACTCAATGAATTGATGTTCGGACTTTTCGGAAATTTAACTCTAATAGAAAATATAAGCATCCCACGTCACGTCTGTCGTATTTGGTACTATTACTATGCTACGGTTAAAAAACATGTTTAATAGACACAATTTTATTTATATCTCAAAGGATAAAAAATATATTGTCATGTCGTTTCCACCACTTGTTGTGTTGTTTTACGCTCTTTCATCCTAGCTTAAAATATTTATACGATTATATTTAAAATTTTCGAGATAATCATAAAAATAACTGTTTTTGTCATGAAGCGCCTCCTACTGGATCGTAAAAAGATTAATATCGTGATATTGACATTCTAGTCGAAGCTCTTATAAATACCCTTTAAAACTAAACTAAGTTCGTCGAAATCGGATTATCCAAAAAAAAGTTATTCGACTTTTTCTAAACCAACATTTGACCCTACCCCCACTCTTAATCTGACGTGACTTTGGTATGGGTTCATTTGGAATATTGTTGAGAAACCCCGTTATTTCTATTTTACGGCAGAGTTTACGCCCCCTACAAATATTTTTTTTCCAAGTTGTAGGGCTAAGGGTTCCTGAGATAAGGCCGGCGTCCTTCATTAACGGGCCATCTGGTACAGTCCTGTGGACGCTGCTGGAAATTTGAAACAGTCGCTATATCTCCTGGAACGAGGAAACGTGGAAGATCCACCTCTATAATCTCTACCTCGAACATTTTTCGAATTATATACAGGGTGCGTCTACAGGGTGGTTCGGGAATGTCTAGGACTCTTACATATTTTTAATTTGGAAGTTGAAAAACAAACACTGCGTATCGGTTCGAGCCAGCGAACTCGTCGCATTTTCCGTTTACTAAAAATAACGTTTAATTGCCAGCATATTTTTTCCCAGCATGTTCCCCAAAGCGTTTACGTGAAAATACCGTATATACACACACATAAACACGGATAAACCGAACCGCTATTAATAAGAAAATAAACAGGGATTAAGAAAACGGAAATTGGCACGCCTATGATCTCGGCCCATCGACACGACGGTTTGTTCAATATCCCGCTCAGACATATTAAAAGTAAATAACCAATTTTATCGTGAAACGCGTCAAATGTAAATAAGCACATTCCCGAAATATAACTTCTTTATTTTTGTTAGGTTGTCTAGGAACACCAATGGCGTGCTTGGGTGCTACTGGATTCCTCCTGCGTCGGTTTTTTTGACTCGAAGTAGCTAACGTTTCGCCAATCATCCAGTTGGCTTCTTCAGAGCTTGACAGCAACTGAACCTGCTTTTATATCGTTTGAGAGGGGCGGAGCTAAATGAGGGGCATAAACACCGTCTCGGATGACCGATTCCCAGTAGTAGAGACCTGAGTCTCGGTTAAGATTATTAGGTTATCTATAGATTTCTATAGATTCTTGGATTTCTGCCGTTGGTAGAAGAATTGATTACATGTATTTTAATTTTATCGAATCAAATGTCTTAGTCTTAACGCTCTCTCATGTTCTTTGAGACCATGCATGAAATGCTGTAAGCTCCCTCAGCTCAAATGAAATTTTGTCCTTTACGGATCGAAGATGTTGACAGATTTTGGGACAAGTGGTAAATCTGGTTTTGACATTATATCTCTTTAGAACTTTTGATATGTTGTCAGCGATGTTTTGAATATAAGGACAACCGTAGCGAGTGTGGGATTGTTTTCGGTTTCATTGCTATTGGAGGGTTGTGGTGAAGTGTATTTTGTGATGGAACGTTTGTGGAAATTATTAGAGAGAACAGCAGAGGTAATTCTGGGTTCAATGACTCGGACTGAGATAGTTTTACGACTCTGTAAACAAGAGAATTGATAACCGATGATTTTGGGGCCGGATGATGATGTGACAATGCGTTAAGGTATCGGTCTGTGTGCGTAGGTTTCCTGTAAACACAATGATCGAATGTTAGGTCTGATTTTCTATTGATAAGAATATCTAAGAATGTATAGAAGTATAGACTTTAAATGTTTAAAAAAATCTACTAGGGATTCCTGACCATGAGGCCAAATAACAAAAGTATCATCGACGTAGCGTTTCCATAATTTTGGTTTTAGATGGAAGGTGTCGACAGCTTTCTATAATATAATCACGCGTGGAGATTTTTTTGACCCAAGGGCCTCTGTTAACCCCAATCAACCTGGGAATTATAAAATTCGTATTACCAGGTGATGTTTTGATTTAGACAAACAAGTTACCGCATTGTAATAAATGCCATTTTTCTTTTAAAAATAACCGCCATAAACATTTCCAGCCTTTAGAGGTAGCCGAAACACACATAGAAATAATGTAGTTGAACTTTAATGGTCTATTAAAAAATTGGGAAAATCTGACTAGTACTAGCAATTGGCAATAACCATACATTCTGAGGTATAAGATATACGCATTTGAATAATAATTTAATGCGGTGTTTGTTTACACTTTACAGCAGCACTAAAATTAAAAATAAACCTCCGAAAAGTGAAATTAGCAAAAATGTTTGTCCCGTTTCCATCTTGTTTGTAAAATTATCTAGGGATTTTAATTTTTTGACAAAACTTTTATTTTTTGTTTTATTTTTAACTAGGTATATATTATTGACGGCTGTTTAATAAACATTGCGTGATTATTAAGCAATCTTAAGCGGAGTTGGTTTTAAAATTTGGAGGTAATTGTAAACCAGTGCGTGAGGCACGAGAGATCTTTACTGGACGATCTCTAGATAAACAAGTTCACCATTCAACTCAACAATAGGATTTCAGCTCATTCTAAACGACTTTAAACTTTAAATAATAAGGAAAGTCAACTGAAAGTGCGTTAGACGGTTGTTGAAAACCCCAGAAGGTGCGACCAAACTGCTCAATTGCTGAAACAAAAAAAAATAAAAAAATTTTTATTTTAATAGACCTCGTGTTGATATCAAGGCATAATTTTTTATTGTACAACTTTCTAAGCTCAATCTTTTGAAATCAGGGTTCCCTTGTTTCACCATTTTTCATTTACCGGTAATATTTAACCCACGACCATTTTCAAAAAACGGAAAACGCGATCGGCAATCATCTTTTATAGGCTCGTGCGCCCCGCAGGTTGTTCCCAGGGAGCCGAAATTCGGCGCCCTCGCTGGAACCGTTCGGAAGTTATTCGTGTTTTTCTGTAGAGTTACAGAGAACAGACTCGGGAGAACGGAGAACAGACAAAAGATAGAAACGTTGTTTTTCCAGCGCTGATTGTGTACGAACTGCGCACCGTTACGGACCACCCTCACGTCACAATCTGGAGAATTTATGCGGGGTCCTATAGGGGATCCCTGGGGTACACCCATCTCGAATTAATGACAATGATAATGGTTTTTGTCGGTGCCTACGGGGCGGGTATACGAGCAAGATTTTTTTAACTCCTTTGTCGCCCCTGACTTGAGCATTTATTTGTTACCGGTCTGTGGGACGAAACGTGTAAAAGGGTGCGTTTTCGGGGTGGTTGATTAACCCCCAGACTCTGGCAGTTGTACAATCAGAACTGAAATCAGTAACTTCAATCGGTAACTATTATTGAGCTGCGCCTAAACTACTACAGTCCTTTTTTTTTCTTTCTTGTCTTAACTCTAACTAAGTCATAAAACCAATTAAATTTTTCTATTTATCACAAAGTTCTCACATACGGGCGTAATACTGCACAATTGCTCAGGCCACTTCCTACAGAAGGTGTTGAGAAAGAATTAAATATTGGAAAACAAAGAGCTTTCAGTAATAATCACTCTTTGATTGTGAACAAACTGTCGTACACCGATAAATTATGAAAATCTAGGCATCGTTCACACAGGAGTACAGCAAGCAGGAAATTTGGACATACAGATAGAACAAAAAATATTTTACAGTTTCAATTTGATTATATTTGGGGTCTAAAAATGTATATTTATATAGAGGTTTTTTATAACCTGCCATGGCTAACAAGAACGAACTATTTTCTTTCCAAACTTAAATGTCTTATTATCAAAAATAGCCATAGGGTTTATATGGTTTTTGCTGAGTTTAATTAAAATTATTAATGTTAGAATTAATTATTTTATACAAGAAAAGAGCATATGAAAGACTTTTCTTCCCTGTATTAAAGATAATAGTTACTATAATTTGATTTCAATGATGCAAATTTTATTTTGAAATTTAGCCCGCCCAAAACAAATGGAGTGAACAAATAATTGATTTGATGTTTTAAATCGAAGTCGAATATGATTTAGTATTTTTAAGCTTTTCTAAAAGCTTCCGAAAACATCCCATATATCAAAAACCGTTGAAAAATGAACACACTAATAAACAATAACCTCAATAATTTGATATTGTCGTATTTCTCGAGTTCAGGTTGGCATGGTTATATTCGTCGACATTCGAGACCGACTGTGACGTCGGATATCCTGCAACTTTAAACCCGATCGGCGTTTTTTTCCCTTTGGTTTCGAACAGGAAATTGCGAACATTATACATTTTCCTTTATCAAAATATCGGTTACAAAGTCGGCAAAAAAGATCGCCCACAGAAAGTCTTAAAGCTG